ACTATTGAATATGCTCAATGAACACGATTGCATTTCAAAAGTATATTTTCAAACCATTATAAATTCAGTATATTGAGGAACTACTCGTCCATTTAGCAGCAATGGTTAGAATCAACGTCATTTTACGTAAATGACGTCATAATAACAAGTACGTATAAGCCAAACCTTGAGAAAACGTTCTGAGTTGATAGATTACCAGTAACTGATTGTTTAATTCCGTGATTTAATATTGTCAAGCTTATTTATTTTATTTTGTTGCGTATGAAGACATTGCTTATGTAATATTTTCTAAAGAACAAATTAAAATTTATTTCCTGTTTCGTTTTGTTTCCTGTGTTCGATGTTTTCTTTTTTCGTAAGTTTCCTAAATGCAGATACATGTATTACATGCTGCTATTCCACTAAAAGCACCTAATAATTAAACATATTGAAAAGATAACCAAAGTTAATAAGTTCAAATGTTTGATTTTGCTTTCATTGTACATGTATTCCGAAATTTTAACTTTAATCAATATTCATTTTTATTTGTTCCGTATTGACTTTATTTATTACATATCGGTATAACTTTAAATATTTCAATGACTTTATCAACAAGACACATGAATTTGATGTATTACAGTGAAAGCTAGGGGGTAATCATGATCAGTTTGATATGATCATTCTTCTTCCAGAATTTTAATGGAAATAATGACGCAAATTATTAAAATCTCTAATAAGTAAATATACATGTACGGCGAATGAATGCAATTATTGTATGCCATTCTATTTTCGAAAAAGATTGTTAATCTATTTTTGTTTTGTTTTTATTTTGTTATAAGGCTATTGATCTTTCTATTTTCATCAGGATATATCCTAAATATATTCCTTGCACTAGATAAGTGTGTCAATTTGACCGGAAGTACGGATTATTTAGATTTTTGCAATGGAAGTAAAAATTGCACCTCCCTCTGATGATGACTATGTTACGACTTACGGCTGTCTATGTTTAGCGGCGTAACATTGTGGGGCTCTTTAATCTGAATGTTGAACGAAAGACAACAGGATATAATTTGTTTTTAATATTTTATTAGATTTTATTCAATAAACATACAAAAATACTCTTCTTTGGCTCTGCGGTCCTCACCTGAAATAAAAACAAACCAACCACCCTCTCCAACAAATGTTAATTTATAAACCACCCTTAAACAAACCCTTTAATGAATGTAAATAGACCTAATGCCTTTAGGTCTTGAATAAAGTTCCAAGTAGTGATTTTTTCACTTGGTGAGTATAAATATAAAATGTCAGGTTATAGCAAACAACTAATTGTATAGGGACAAAAAGTTATGCTAATATCTCAGTACAATGCATCTAGCATTTGTTAATATTCAAAGGTTATAGCAAACAACTAATTGTATAGGGACAAAAAGCTATGCTAACATCTCAACAAAACAAAATACAATGCACCATGCATTTGTTTGTTGTTAGTAATAATGTCAGGAATTATAAATATCAAGTTCAGGTCACTTCTTGTGCCTTAGTAAAAATTATTCAACAATAAACAATAACGAGTCCAGATCACTACTTGTGTCTGAATAAAACTCATTAAAATAAAGCAATCAAGTGTTGCTAACGAGTCAATACCAACTGAGGGATAATTACCCATCTAAATTCTTCAGGGCCCTGCTCTTGTAAGGTCATCGTTATCTGACTAGATTTGGCGACCGCACAGTGAGTGAGACAGCAGACGTCTGACCGTCAGAGCCCGGGGAGCTCGTATATAAAGCCTTTACACCCATTATGACGTATATTGCATGAGATTTGGCGCCATAACTTCAAATAGCCGGAAAGCTTCGGATGCATTTAACTATTATACGCATCCGAGGTGTTCCGAATGTACTTTACATCTTTTGCCGCTTAGTATGAAAAAGCAGAGTGTAATTGTAAGGTTTTTACTCTAATTATCAGTGAATGGATTTATTAATTACCCCAATTATCAAAGGTAAGAATATTTAGTATTATATAAAAGCATTTGTAGACCAGTGAATGGTTTATTTACTTTCCGTATTCCTCAAAACTGGAGGAAATTCGGTACCTGGTGAACAATGCACATAATTAATTTCAAATAACTCTAATAAATAATAACAGGTATGCAAGAATAAATATCAATACATCTCATTCATTCAATCATCCATCGAATCATCATTTTAATGACTTATATAACAAGAAACATCTTGTTTACTTATGCATAACAATAGTGGAGAATGTCAAATTCGTAACACGGGAGGGGATCCAGTTTGGGTGTTCTACCCCAACCCCAAACCTGGCCTATCGAGAAAACTTTTTAAGAATTGGGCAGGCCCTTATGTGGTCACAAAAAGAATAAATGATGTTCTTTACAAGGTCAAAAAGTCTCCCAAACACAAAGGAGATATATTGCACCACAACAGGTTAAAGCTGTATGTGGGTGAGAATAAACCTAAGTGGTTTCAGAAGTAAATGCTGAATAACTAACATAGCTTGTTTTGCATGGAATTTTGTTTTCTTTAATAGACATTGTTGAAATTGAGGAGATTATTTGTGTTATGTTTTTATGAAAAAAAAAAGAAAAAAAAAATTTTTGATGATCTGACAACACTTTATCTATATCTTATTATACACTAGTAGTCTAGTACAGGCATATTGTGTATTCTGCTTTGTGCATTCTAAAAAACAAACATTCATGTAAATTTTAATACATTACAGGTGCAAAAATTCAAATGCACATTGTGTGATGGACGAGAGTTCGCACAGCAACACCAAGCAGAACAACATCTAACTGTCACCCATTCGGGATTCGGTTTCCAGTGTTCGGTGTGCAAGTACATTTTATCCAGAAAAAATCAGAAACACAACTGCGAAGGCTACGTGGCATTATCTGTCAAGAAATCCGCAATGACATTCAATGAAGCTGAAAAGAGAGAGTTTGCAGAGTTCCAAAGAAACTGCTACAGGTTTGTTGAACCTTTCATGAAGAAAATATCCCCAAATATGTATAAAGGGTACACAGGAAAGAGGACAATCAGAGTTAACCACGAAGAGCCCCTGCCGAAGCGACAAAAGCCGGCGTCGAAGCAACAAAATGTGTCTGAACCAACTGGTGTGACAAGAACTGTTGTAACAAAGGCAACGGAAGCTACACTTCCATCAGCCGAAGTTCCAGCCGTAACATCTATTCCACAGACCAGAGCTCTATCGACACCACCTGAAAAACAGGCTCCACAAAAGGATAGGACAGTCAGCAAAAGGCTTTTTGATGATACATCATCCTCGTCGTCCTCCAGCCACTCTTCCTCCAAAAGGTCATCGACAAATTCCTTGGAGAGCCCTGATATCTCAGTGCGTGGAGCAGAACCGAGAGTTTCGAAGAACCCTGCAGCTCTGGAGTACGAAGTGGCTGACCTTCCGGCACCGACATATAACCCGACAGACAAAAGGGAAATAATGATAAAGAGCCTGGAAATACAACAGAAAGAAAGAATAGTGTTGAACGTCGGAGGTAGACGATTTGAGACAAGTAAACAAACCATGCAAGCAGACCCGAGCTCTATATTATCGGCCATGGTGGCAAAAGACCTTTGTGCAACAAACAACGACACAAAAACATTTTTCCTAGATAGGAACCCCCGTTATTTCGACTTCATACTAGATTACCTCAGATCGGCGACGTACAACTCCAAGGTCCTCCCATTTGATAAGTCCATCCTCCGGCAAATCCATGTGGAGGCAGCATACTATGGATTAACAGGGCTTGTTCATGCCGTTGAGGAGAGAGCTAAGGGAAAGGATGTTCCTTCTCAGCCTGTCCTGTGGGATGACTAACTGGAGTCATTCATTATATTCTACAATGAACACATTTTTTTTTTTACATGTGCATCCACTGTTGGACTGAAGTGATGCCCACAACTGTTCATGTGTTCATTTACATGTACATAGTATTGGTTATATTTTTTTTTAAAGGAATCTGATAGTTTCTTATAATTCACAAAAGATGAAATTTTGTTTTATGACTTAGAGATGTTTACTAACTGAATTCATACATGAGATTCTTGTATCTTGTTGAATGGACATTGTTGACATTGTAAAAACTGCATATATTGATTTATTTACAATGATTGACATTAGTTACGCACAAATGAAATTGTTGAACTTACATTACGACTTCTTTTTCTTTTTGTGCTCGTCATGATATTGAGAGTTCTTCAGAAGAACAAGTATCCTATTAAAAATTAGAATAAAATAAAATAAATATGGATCAGCAATGAAAAGATTAACCTACTACGTATTGGTAATTCACAAAACGTTTGATCAACGTAAATTTGAATTTGAACTGCGCAGTTGTTGTTTTCACGAAAATGCTGCAAAGCTACTCAAAAATAACTCCGCCTACAGTCAGATCAAATCGAAAATATAATGAATATTCACATTTTACTTACTGAAAGTTGCATTTCGTCCATTTTTGCAAGTATTTTTTGGACGAACTTTATGAAAACTCAGTGGCGCTTCTTTTCTCTGCACGAGGATTTGACGTCACACCTTTTGATAAGTCGTACTAATAAATGTCACGAAATCTACTTTCGTTTTCGAAATACGACAAGTGCGTCGTGTTTATGAAAATTTAGTATTTTAGACTGAAAGTTAAATGATTTTATATATTTGTTTGTGTTTAATATAATTTAAAGTTTGCTTATGATAAAGTGGACTTACAGTTTAACTTGGATGTCCCGAAGACGGCATTCTGAGATAATTAGTTGGTCGGGATATCAAGGTTTTGATTCATTGAACATTAATTTAGATTGTTACAAAGTATATTTTTATAGACATTCGAGGACGAATGTTAAATAGAGAAGGGGGCCGTGTTACGAATTTGACATTCTCCACTATTGTTATGCATAAGTAAACAAGATTTTTCTTGTTATATAAGTCATTAAAATGATGATTCGATGGATGATTGAATGAATGAGATGTATTGATATTTATTCTTGCATACCTGTTATTATTTATTAGAGTTATTTGAAATTAATTATGTGCATTGTTCACCAGGTACCGAATTTCCTCCACGTTTTGAGGAATACGGAAAGTAAATAAACCATTCACTGGTCTACAAATGCTTTTATATAATACTAAATATTCTTACCTTTGATAATTGGGATAATTAATAAATCCATTCACTGATAATTAGAGTAAAAACCTTACAATTACACTCTGCTTTTTCATACTAAGCGGCAAAAGATGTAAAGTACATTCGGAACACCTCGGATGCGTATAATAGTTAAATGCATCCGAAGCTTTCCGGCTATTTGAAGTTATGGCGCCAAATCTCATGCAATATACGTCATAATGGGTGTAAAGGCTTTATATACGAGCTCCCCGGGCTCTGACAGTCAGACGTCTGCTGTCTCACTCACTGTGCGGTCGCCAAATCTGTTAAGATAACGATGACTTTACAAGAACAAGGCTCAGAGGAGTTTAGATGGGTAATTATCCCTCAGTTTGTATTGACTTGTTAGCAACACTTGATTGCTTTATTAGTTTAATGAGTTTTATTCAGACACAAGTAGTGATCTGGACTCGTTATTGTTTATTGTTGAATAATATTTACTAAGGCACAAGAAGTGACCTGAACGTGATATTTATAACTCCTGACATTATTATTAACAACAAACTAACAAATGCATGGTGCATTGTATTTTGTTTTGTTGAGATGTTAGCATAGCTTTTTGTCCCTATACAATTAGTTGTTTGCTATAACCTTTGAATATTAACAAATGCTAGATGCATTGTACTGAGATATTAGCATAACTTTTTGTCCCTATACAATTAGTTGTTTGCTATAACCTGACATTTTATATTTATACTCACCAAGTGAAAAAATCACTACTTGGAACTTTATTCAAGACCTAAAGGCATTAGGTCTATTTACATTCATTAAAGGGTTTGTTTAAGGGTGGTTTATAAATTAACATTTGTTGGAGAGGGTGGTTGGTTTGTTTTTATTTCAGGTGAGGACCGCAGAGCCAAAGAAGAGTATTTTTGTATGTTTATTGAATAAAATCTAATAAAATATTAAAAACAAATTATATCCTGTTGTCTTTTGTTCAACATTCAGATTAAAGAGCCCCACAATGTTACGCCGCTAAACATAGACAGCCGTAAGTCGTAACAACTATAAAAATTAAATCAAGGCGTGTACAAATTACAAAGCGTTGTTATAAATATATTTTTTTATTTTTCCCTTTGAATTAATGCTAATCATGCATCAGGTAAATGATATTTTGGGGAGTGGGGACTAGGTAAATATAAAACAATTATTGAAAATCTATTTAAAACTGCAGTAGAAACTTGCCTAAAGCGCATATTGGGGAAAGGGGGGGAAGGTGGGGGGGGGGGAGAAAATGAAAAACAAGAAGCAAAAAAAAATATATTGAAGGTGATAATTTTGATAATTCTCACTATAGTTTTCGGCTTAAAAAACAAACAAAACACGGCAAGGAGACAGATGTCTTTGAGTTTTAAAAAAAATAAACTAAATACATGTATTTTATCATACATTTAGCAAATGACTATTTCTTTTAAAAAAATGGATGAAACTCGATCCATCCCCACCCCAACCTCAATCCGTTAGAGTACGTACGCGCTACGAAATATGCGATTTTTCTAAATATCGACCTTTTCCTTATTAACTCGTTTGAGTTCCATTTACATTACATGTACATGTGTGTTGTTGTTCCTTTGAACACTTTATACATCATAGACAAATACAGCCACATAGCATCGTTTTTGAAAGTGGGGGCAGGGGGGCAGAGAAGATTTATTTTTGATTTACCTAAAAAAGTTGAAAAGCAAAAAAAAAAAAAAAAGAAAAAGCGGGGGGGGGGGGGGGGGTATTGCAAAGTAAAAAATTGTTTTTGTGGGCGGGGGATGGGGGCAATGGCCAACTTTTTTTTCAATGTCAACTTATTTCAGTACCAATTTTTTAGCATTCAATACTACATTTAACTGATCTCAATTTCCTGTAATATACAATTGGGGGGGGGGGCAACCAACCTTTCAATCAACATCTCCCCTCCCCCCCCCCCCCCCGTTGTTGCTACGTGCCTGAAATACAACTTCAGAGAGAGAGAGAGAGAGAGAGAGAGAGAGAGAGAGAGAGAGAGAGAGAGAGAGAGAGAGAGAGAGAGATAAAAACACAGTTACTAAAATAGCGATTTAGTTTGAATCGTTTAAAATACATTATTATAATGCTTTAAACTTATTGATCGATGATTGACTTTTTCAGTAATTCTCAAGTGTTGATTTTCTCAGTTAAATTAGTATGGTATAAAGTGACCAAGCATTTTTTCTTGGTGGGTTTTTTTTTCTTTAATTCAGGGGGGATGTTAAATCTGAATTTATTAAATAACTGTTCATGTTTTTATTTTAGCTGCAATAATGTAGCCCTCTCCGATATTTTTTATCTGATATTTTTTGGAGAGCCCCACCCCCCAAAAAAGGGAGGAGGCTACATTATTGCAGCTATACTGTTTTATAAAACCACAAATCCTTTTTAATTAATTTTACCATGAATATTTTTAAGATACAACATACGAAAAAATGTGGAATTTTGTGACTATGGTGAGTTTACGTACATGTACCGGTATGTTTAAAATAATTATATTAAATCATAATACGACCGGTATATTTAATAAAGATTTTGATAACGACAGATATTCGGACACTCGGAATGGGATTGAGCCGTGAAGAAGTGGGTCTAAAAAAATTATACACTGTTTATTTTTTCTTTCCTATTGAAAAATCGCTGGTGTTAATGAAAAATATATTAAAAGATAAATGGGCTTCGTTTGAGTATTGCAATTTGATAATAAATCAACAGGAACGGACTGCAGGTAACGTGGGATGTTAAGTTTAAAACTATATATGTACGATTCTTGAGGTGAGTTTGGGGGGGGGGGAGGGTGTCCTTCATTTCTTAAATCTTGTGATGTGTAAGATTTTGAATACCGTATGTACTCGCCTATAAGTCGGTATATTGGGAGTTAAATTTTGGTCCAAAACTCTATGTCCGACTTATAGGCGAGTCATAAGGAGACTTTTTTCTGGACTGTGACATTGAGGAACAAAGTCTGGATTACATATAAACATACATGCATTCAAAGATGATACATAAATTAGAAATATTTACTTACTTTTGTTGTATTATTTTTTATCTCAAGCGTGCATTGCTTATTTGTTTAATGATTCAAAATTAAATATTGGCATCATAGGCGAGTATATACGGTATACAACACAAGATATTGAATATACATCACAAGATTTTGAATATTTATCACAAGATTTTGAACATACATCACAAGATTATAGAATACACACTGTCATCACAAGATGTCGAACATATATTACAAGATATTGCACATACATAACAAGATTATAGAACGTACTTCACAAGATTTTGAATAAACATTACAAGATTTTGAATATACATCACAAGATTATCGAATTAAATCACAAGATTATCGAATATACACCAAAAGATTTTGCATATACATCACAAGATTTTGACTATACATGTACATAAAAAAATTTAGATCATATATCAAAAGATTTCGATCATATATCAGAAGATTTTGAATATACATCACAAGACGATTTTGAATGTACATCACAAGACGATTTTGAATATACATCACAAGATGATTTTGAATATACATCAAAAGATTATCGAAAAAAGTAAAGTCTTAAAGGCCAAAGTAGTATGCACTTCTTTTTTATATCAAGTTCAAGTAATTTTATATTTTAAGAGTTTTCAAATTATTTTTCATGATAAAATCAATCTAAGAATTTTTTCATTTAAGTTTCGCCAATGTATGAATAGAATATGATGCAATCTTTAAAAAGTTCAAATTCGTTGCGATGCATATACGTACTTGTACAATATGCTGACTGGTGTTCTCAAAACATAAAAAATTAATGCAATGTTTATTTTTAAAATTATAGAAATTCGTAATCCTTGCCGAATTTCGATTATCATTAGTGTTAACAATATTATTGAACTTTTCCGAGAACCACTTAAACAATCGACAGCTTACATTGAAATTAATACCTGCGATATCTACATAGGTACAGAATTGAGAAAAAGATAAGAAAACTTTATCAAAACTAGAGGTACTGTGAGCAATGAGCTCAATAAATGATACCCCCCGCCTCCCATATGAATATAATGGCAGTGTTCATGTTTTGCTCTGGAAAATCCAAAATATATCTCAGATCAAAAAGTAAAATAGGAGGTGCACAATGACAATATGTAATGAAGATTCTGCGAAAGTTTCATTAAATTTCCTTCAGTGGTATGAGAGGAGTTGCGGATAAGAGATGGGTACCCCAAAGCGTAACAGACGGACAGACGAACGTACAGACGGACGGACGGAAATACCGATTACTATATACCCTCCCACTTTTCAAGCGGGAGGTATAATAATTATTATGGTTATAAGTATATGGTGTTCAACCACAGGCACCTGAAGTGTAGACAGAGTCCTC